ACTCAAAAAAAAAAAAAAATAGCATATATAGACACATTTACATAAAAAACAAAATACTAGTGTACTCTGAATCAACTTTTGAGTTTTATTATTGCATGCTTATCACCAGAGGAAGAAAACACTCCAAAAGCTTTCATATGAATTGATTCTGGATTCGTTTTTCCACATGACTCTTTAGGACATTCACATCAGCTGCACAAAGCTGGTACTCCATCTTCTCTAGCTGTTTTGTTCTCTCTAATAAAGCCCCATGTGGTGGAGGCAATGCATTGTATGAACCCAGTAGATAAAGCTGACTTGATGAAGTCTGGTTGATTTCTTTAATCTTTAAAGCCTGCATGATAGCAGGTGCGAACTTTGAGTAATGAGCTGTAGATGAGATGATCACTGGGCAAATTTTGTCTTGCATTCTGTCTGCAACCACTTTTGCAACAGCAGTGTGTGGATCCAAAATATACCCTGAAGCATTGTAGGTAGAATTGATAGCAGCTAGGCATTCTCCCTCAGAGCACCAGTCGGCTACAAAATCCTGCTGAAGTTTCTCAACTAGAATCTCTTCTATTTGGAAGTGATGTTGGTTTTCTAACTGATTAAATAATTTTGTCACTAATTGTCCATCTCTATTAGCCATCAAGTGTAAATGTCGTTCCAGGTTTGAAGATTTGAGAATATCTATTGATGGTGAAAAGGTTTGTGCTAATTTTCTTTCCCTTAAGTCATAATGTCCTGTTTTTATAAAGTCAGTCAAAACATGGTTCTGATTAGAAGCGCAGATAAATTTTCGAATAGGGATCCCCATCATTTTGGCATACACTGCAGCTAATATGTTACCAAAGTTTCCTGTGGGAATACAGACATCAACTGGGCTTCCAAAAGAAATAAATCCTTGGTTAACAAGATCAAGATAAGCAGAAGCATGATAAACTACCTGGGGAAGCAGGCGGCCCCAGTTTATGGAATTAGCTGAACTTAAGATTGTTCCATACTCCACAGTAAGAAAGCCAGTGAAATCAGAATCCTTAAAAATTCTCTTTATAGCTGTCTGGCAAAAATCAAAATCTGACTCGACACCCACTGCCCACCCATTTTCTCTCTGACTGCCAATTATTTGTGCTTTCTGAAAATCACTTACTCCGTTCTCAGGAAAAAATGTGACCACAGCTATTCTTTCCTTGTCATTCTTATTAAGATGACTAAACCCATTTAAGACTGCGCTCCCTGTGTCTCCTGAAGTAGCTACAAGTATCATATAATTGCAACTTGGTGGAATACAGTGTGCAAAAATATGAGGCATAAGCTGTAAAGACAAATCTTTAAATGACCCTGTTGGTCCATGAAACAATTCCAGAATGAATTGATTGCCGGAAAGGTGCCTGACAGGAGCAACTTTTGAGCAGGCAAAGTTTTCCCCATAAGCAGTTTCAATCATTTCTCCTAATTTGGCAGCAGGTATGTCGGCAGGATGTATACATCTTTCCAGGAGTATTTGTGCTCTTTCTATGTAGGTTGCTCCTACTAGGCTTTTCCACTCCCCACAACTTAATTTTGGAAACTCCTTCTCAGGAACAAAGAGTCCACCATCAGAAGCCAACCCCTCAATCACAGCTTCACTAAAGAATTTTGCTGAAACCTTCTGTTCACAGTCTTTAGGCCAAATGTGTCTCGTTGAAATGAATGTTTCTGAGTCCACATCTTGGTATCTTTTAACTGCATTCAGCACTTTGTCAGCAACCTCCTCTGGGGAAGCCCCACTTTCACAAAAAACACGAGCGTCATACCACTTCTTATAATATTGTCTTCTAAATTTAAGTAAGTCTTTCATAGATGTTCCAGAATTCTGACCTACAATCCTATCTATCTTCATTAATTTTAGACGGCCAATTATATCTACCAGAGGTACATCCAGGTATACAATTATTCCATTTTTCTTCAGATGCCACATGCTAGCATCATGCATTGGATTGGACCCAGTAAGGGAAATCACACTTCCAGATGCAGAGAAGTTCAACACAGCTTTTCCTTCCTCTTCTAAAAATTGCTCATTACCAACATCCTGTAATTTTTCAGACACACTCATATTCCAGGTTTTTTCAAGGATATCATCATCCACATCTATGACACAACAACCTAGTTTTTGACCTATTATTCTGCCTACTGTTGTTTTCCCAGCACCAGGAGGTCCCATTAGGATAATATTTTTGTCTCCAACAAGAGAGTGGGTTGAATGCCATGACTTCCTTAATTCTGCAAGTGCAAAGGTTCTTGAAAGAAATAGCCAGGCAAATTTATCTGTTTTAACATGTATACCAGAACAACATTTCTGTGTTATCTGTTTCAGATGTTGACATCGGGTAAAGTGGAGCATTCTCTTTTCACTTTTCTGCCCAAGTCAACCTAAAAATTGGCTTTAGCCTTTTTCAAAACAAAGAAACAAAAAGACAAATGGTTATTAATTTCAACAAACTGTTAAAATTCTGATAGGATGAAATATAGTCATGACCACAGTATATAAACTGTTTAAAAATCTTCAATTTTTAAAAAGTATTTCAATAATTTCTCATATATTGCATATTATTTTTAGTATCTTTTCAAATCTCAACACACTGGAAAAAACTTAAAAAATACGTAACTATAAGCACATAAACTTTATTTAGAAAATGTCATATTGTAATGCTTTTAAATATATATATACACACTAAATCAAATTAGTATTCCTCTTCTATTTATGGAATATTGTAATGAAAACTGTTTCATGGTTTACTAGTTTATAAAAATTAAGAATTATTTGGAATTGGACTGCTGTTTACTTGCAATTCACAAAAGTTGAACAATACTCTGTATATTCAATTTTTCTTTAGCTAAATAAGTGAGTTGATAGACTATAATGTTACCCATAAATTTCTTAACTATAGAATTCACAATAGAAATCAGAATTTTAAAAATCTGCTTATAAAACGATTAAATAACTTTTCAAGCTATAGGACAAATGTATGACATTTTCTTTCTTATGTGCCT